TCTAAGTTTAGAAAAATTACCGCTCTAAATAAAACAGATATTATCATTATTACATAATAATATATATACAATAATACAACATTACATAATATTAACTATAACAATTTGGTATGATATAAAGGTATTTTTTAATTATTGCAGACTAAGCGAAGTTTTAAAATTAAAAAAAAAAATAAAAATTAATGCAAAAAAATTTATAAAAAAGGAAAAAAATAATAATTCAACCCACATAATAGCGACACCTGCTGCTTCGCTTTACCATAATATGTACGTATGCTTGTGTGATGTATGAGTATATGATATTTACACTAATTCTTGTCGCTCGAAGCGTTATCTGTCAGCAACATACAATTATACATAGATATGTACATACGTGTAAACATGAAAAAATTGACGTACTTGAACTACTTCTGGTATTAAAATGCACATTTATACATACATATATATATATATATATGTATGTTTGTATGTATGTATGTATGTATAAGCATGCATGTATTTATCATATATACATATGTATGTAAGTAAATGTCTCTAAACACATTTATCTTTAGATCTAAAACAGCGGCGCAGTGGAAGTTTGCATGCTTGCATTCCTTTCAAGGCCAGCAATGTGGAAATTTGCTATAACAAACATATTTACATATATGTATATTGTAATAGATACGTACGCATTTGTACATATGTATGTATACCTGCAAATTATTAACGAGTGTTGACAATTTTGTTTTCACCAATTCAATGTGTTTTCGAAAATTTTTTTTTTTTATTTTTATTTTTATATTAATTTTTTTTTTTTTCAATCACCTTTTGTCCTCCGCTTCTTACGAAAACATATAAATATTGTAAGTATAAGTAATTAAGCAACTTTTGGTCGTTTATGCTTTGTACCAATGGAAATTACCAACGAATATATACATACATATTGTAATACATATGTATGCATGTGTGCAACCAGGCGTATGAGTGTTATGAGTATTAGGTATGTTGTTGTTGCTGTTGTGATAGAAGCACGCGATTTCATATTCTATTAATTCCAACTGTTAAATAACGCTTTCCAGCATAATAATATTTTTTCACAAGTTCATGAGCACACATACACATAAATTCGCTTGTATGTGTGTTCATATATGTATTTTATTTGTGGTATTAAATATATAGTACTTGTATATAATAAGTGGTTGGTAACTTTAATTTGTCGCAATTAAGGTTTTTTGATGAGTCTGACGATGATATTAAATAGAAAATGGTGCACACTAGCATACATACATACAAACTATAAATGCAAGCATTGCGTGTGTGCTTATGTCATTGTGCTTGTTCAAAGACATATTTTAATACGTTTACGTTATTGTAATTGATTCGGATATCCATTTTACCATATTTATGGCATACCAACATATATATATTATATATATGTATGTATGTACTCATGCTAGTTCTACAATATTATTCTCATATTTCGCAACAATTGACTCGCCATGTCTCGTGTTTGCTGTCTGTCTGTCGCTGTATAACGATTTTGTTTTTTTTTGTTATTGTTAATATTTATATTAATATAATTGACTATTGACTACAATTGATTGTTTAAAATAAAATCAAAATAATAACGAGTTCTGCTCTTTTAATTTTGTCATTGGCATAAATGTTAACATGTCTATTTGCAAGTAAAGTGAATTATTTATTAAAAACAACTTAAAAAAAAAAATAAAAAGAAAATAATAAAACACAATTTTGTCTTTCATTTATTAATCAACTGCTGTGCCATGCTTGTTATATGTATATATATATATACATGTGTAGCTGCATAACTGTTGTGCAGACAATAATGCAATGTTCATTGTCAATGAATTCTTAAATTGTTGCAGTCAACACTTCGGCACATGTACATACATACATACATGCAAATGCACATATGTGTGAAGCGAGACCATTTTTCTTTCAACTTGAGTTTTTCTTATGGAAAAAAAAAAATAACTCAATGTTTGTATGTGTGTGTTTGCTAAAATTATATAGTTTAACTACTTGAAGGCATGTTCATTTCTCGCCTATTTTGAATTCATTATTTTACCACTTTTTTGTTTGCTGTTTTTGTTTTTATATTTATTTTTTCAATTTTAGGTTTAATTTTTCACTCCCACAGTGAAAAAATTGTGGAAGTCGTGCGAAAACACCCACAAAATATTGATTGTGTGCTGAGATATGCCTGCAATTGATTATAAATAATTTATATGAGATAAATAAATTTATTTGAAAATTTAAAAAAAGAAAAAAAAAAACTTTTTTTTTTGATTGCATAATCGTTTCTTTTACCATAAATATTTAAGAAAAAGAAAAATCTCAACGCTTCATAGAAAAATAATCCTCAAATTAAGCTCAGAATGAGAGTCCCGAACTCAAACCTTCAAAGTCAATACCTCAGGAAATTGAAATATATCGTTTTTTTTCTTGGCAATCCCATAGCGATTCTGTTTAACGGTATTATTTTTCTAAAAGGAATGATCACCTTTTTTCCTAAATTGAGTAGATATTAACACTTTTTTCTGATTTTTTACATACTTAAGGTTGGCTACTTAAGGCTTGGGTGGTTATCTTTTTCTTAGAGCGGCGGCATAGAGAGATTTTCATCTTGCTTGGCATAGGCACCGCCTACACCATTACAGCAGAACATTAATTTCTACTCTAAGCCGTTGGCGCTAGTTTGATATACGAGGTGAGATCATAGCTTTCTACAACTCATCTCTACAATGTCGTAGAACTTTTTTTGCTTTTGCCAAAAAGCGATACCTTGTTGGTTATCGATGCTGAGTTTGTTGTTGGTATTAATGCTTGTACCAAAATCGGTGAAATTATCTACGCCTTCAAAACTATGACCATCCACAGAGAAGTAGATATGATGACAGGAGGTATTTTGTCTTGTGCTCGTTCACTACCAGGACCCATGCGCCTCGCTTCTTTACTCATTCTGGTCGAAGATGTTAATATCATCGGCATACGTCAAAATTTGCATGCTCTTCAACAGCTTGTATTATTTTATCCAGAGAGAGATTTAGAGAAAAAAGTCGCACAATTGAAACCTCAGGGAAGTGCTTCGCAGTTTTCATGGAGCTTTTCCACAGCCAAGATAAGACGCAGATTTGACACCACATTGATGAGGTTCAATAATTTTGTTGACGGCAAGCTTTATTAGTCTTTCACTCAATATGTTCAATAGGACCTTATATGCAATGTTGTCGAGACTTGTCACATGATGATTTGCGCAGATTGTGGCGTCCTCATTTTTGCGTATCATACAGTGCATACTTTGATTCCATTCATCTTAAAGCACAACATATTTATATCCTTTTATACTACTGCTACCTTTCAAGAAGTTTATTGGATGCTTGACTTTACCACTTTTCGTTTTTCATGTTATGCGAAAATTAGTAAAGAACGCTCGGGTAAAACTTTTCTCAAATTTTTCAGCTTTAACTGGTCACTACTGTAACTCGAAAACGGATAAATAGATTTCAATGAAATTTATACAGCTTTCGTAAACATAAAAAACTGGTTTCAGATCGAAGGATTTGTTTTATTTTGGTTTTGCATTAAAAATTCAGTATTGAGACGAGCTTCCATGGAATTCTGATGGTAACCACAGTTTCTAAAATTATTATTATTTTTTTATTTTAGTGTTCGTGAAGACAATTTGAAATATTAATAATGATTATTTTTAAAAATAAAATTATTTATTTCGAAAAAAATTAAAAATTCATATTTTTCATGCGTTTGACTACCCCTAATTCCATAAATGGAGGGACTTTCTCTCTTCAATTACTCTTAATAATGATAATATTTTTATTCAAATACGAATGACTTTTTATTTGCTTGAATTATCTACCCATTTTTTTTTAGATAATTTTGGCTCTTTTCGTTATTTTTTACTTTAAGGTGAAGAGAACCATTTAAGAACGAAGTTAAGAATATTATAGATAGTAACTTAAGATCATTCATAAGAGTATATGTATAAGTATTATGGGTCCTGGATATCAATAAAAATGCTTTAGAAAGATTCCGGCCAATCTTAAAGTTAGGACAAATATGAATAGATTTCAATTTTCCGAATGCAAAGCCGAATTGAAAGCTTTTTTTTGGAGAGCTTATAACAAACTTAAGCTAAAAATCTTTACGTTTAGTGAGCTTCGTATTTTTTTAAACATAATTCATTCTTCAAAGTAATGAAGGTTATAAAAACTCCTTATTTGCAGATCCCCCAATCATATAGTAGTATCAAGAAAGCATAACTTTTTGGGAAATTGAGAAATATTTTTTGAAGATTATTTAGTCTACGAAACAGAATTCATATTAAAGATGCTGATCTTAACCTTAGTTCTTTCACTGATCGTTGCCTTGTGCAAAAGTCTTGTTTTCCGGCAGAGTTGCTTCCTTCATTTTCACTATGATTTCAGTGCTTTGTCTTCACAGCAAGGAAGGCCAACAACACTACAAAGACCAGACACTCTAACTGTTAAAATTGAAAAAAAAAAAAATTAAAATTAAAAATTATACACATTAGACATGTATAAATTAATATTTGTGCATAAATCAAATGAGAAATTTACAACGTTTGTTTCAACAAATTGGCAACGCTTCGCTGAGCACTAAATCAAATTATTTGTAGGATAGGCCTGTGGCTGGTAGGCTGAGAGTGTGAGAAAGAGTGAGAGACAAGAAGTTCAACATAAACAGGAGTTGGTGTAAAAATGCAAAATGAGTGATTAATAGTTTACAGACATATGTTTTTCAGCATGTATAATTGTGTTTACATTTTTTATGTATGCCTCTATGCAGTTGAAACTTCTTTCCATTCCGTTTATTTTGAGCATTATATTTTGTTTAATTTTTTTTTTCATTCACTACAACTTTTCACGCTGCTCATAATTTAAGCAAAATTTTCGGCTCTTTTTTAATATCTTTTGCAGTTGTAAATATTATATTTTCGATTTTCTTTTCATTTGCAGTTCGCTTCCTTCTTTGCCATCTGCATGACATTGGCTCTGGTCGCCGGTCAGCGTTTCTTCCCCATTGCAGATTTCAATTTCAATTCACTGGGTTCAGGTCAAAATTCAATTCGAGATGGACGCAATAATCGAGGTAAATGGTAGTTTGAAAATGCGTTAGTGATAACAGATTGAGCATGTGCTGATCGCATACATATTTTTATTGTTAATTTATTGTTACTATTTTTTATTAAATATGCAAAGAGACATTACTAAGCTGCTTTTCAGACACTAACAATATTTCCAAGAGATTAATATTTCTTTTCTTTTTTCTTTCTTTCTTTTTTTCTAATCATAACAATTTTGGATTTGAGAGAAATTCATTCTATTTCTTGTATTTGAAAAGTTTTTGCTGTTAACTTTATATGTTTCTTCATTCATAATGACTTTTTATAACAAAACCTTTACTAATACAAAAAAAATATTCCTTCTCAAAGAAATGAAGAACTCAAAAATAATTTTTATTATGTTTTTTAATTTTTTTTTTTAAATTATTTTTATTTAAAAAAAAAAACAGTTCGTAATCCTGTTTTCAATTCATTACAATCTTTAATTAAATCTTTTGTTATTAATTTTTTGAAGAAATGCTAAAATTTACTTTTTGTTTTTGTATTTTTTTCATCTAAGATTTCTCTGTTTTTGAATTTTTTCTCTGTTTCTTTTTATTTAAAATTTTTCGCTCACTTTTGATTAAAGGTCTCCCTTTTGCGGAAAATAACATTTATTTTATTATATTTCTGTTTCATTTTAATTATTATTATTTTAAATAACTGAATTGCCATAACCTATTTTGAATGCTAATTATATATTTTTTTTATTTTTATTTTTTTAATAATAAAAACATACTTACGCATTTTTGAATTCTTCTGTTTTTTTTTCTTAATTAAATTGATTTAGATTTTTAAGTGTATATATTTATATTAATATTGTTTGTTTTCATAAATTACCTCTATTTTACTTTAAATTATATTTAATAAAAGTTGTCATGGTTTGCGAAAGGCATTATAAAACTGCTTTCCCAATACTCAATTTTATTTCATTTTGAACAAAAGTATTTTATTATTTTTCTGTTTATCCTTAATTATCATTGCGCTAAGTAACAAACATTTTTTATTGCTTTTTTAATTTTTGTTTCATCATAAGCTTTCATTTTCTGCTATTTTTGTATATTTCTATATTTTTTTTGTTTAAGAAGTAAGGAAACATATTTATGAATTTTTAGATATTTTTTAAATTAAAACTGTATTTTTAATATATTTTTCTTCATTTTCATTAACCCTTTAATTAATTTTTAATTATTATTTATTTATGATTTTACAAGTGGCTAAAAAGTACAAAAACTTATTCCTTTACGAACAAAATTCTTCTAAAACAAAATTCTTCTAAAATAAATTTTTATTATTTTTCCTTTTAAATTATTATTATTTTAAAAATAAAGTTTTTTTTTTGGTATTTATTTCGTAATAACCTTCCTCTCACTTCTAATTATGTTATTTTATTTTTCAAGAAAATTAAAAAAAAAATAGAAATGTTACTTCAATCTTTTTTTTCTTAATAATTAATTAATTAACTGAAATATTTTACGTTAAACTGTTTTTTAATTTTAATTATAAAAACATCAAATAAAATAGTTTCAAATAAACTTTATTTATTTTTTTATTTTTGGATTTTTAATTATCATTATTTTAAACAATAAAAGTGAAATTATTTTTTTATTATTTTTATATAATTTTTTTTTTTTTGAAGAAATAAAATAAATCACTTTTGAGTTTTCTGTTACTCCTTTTTCAAATTATAATTATCTTCGCTGTACAAATATGCATTTTTTTTGTTTTCTCATTTAATCGTTATTATACTTTTAATTATTACTTATTTTTTATTTAAAAATGACATTACAAAACCACTTTCCAAATATTCAAAACTATTTCTTTTTTACTTTCTTTTAACTATTATTATTTTCAATAAATCTTTGGATTTTATTTCTTCATAATTTTTCTTTTCCTTCTAATTTTTTTCACACTTTGTTTTATTTGCCTTTTATATTTAATGTTTTTTTATATTTCTAATTTTTAATTTTTTGAAAAAAATAAACTACATAAAAATTTTTATTCTATTTCTTGTATCTTTTCAAATTATAACCATTTTTGATAAAACAAAAACTTATACTGTTTGCTTTTATTTATAACCATTTTTACTTCATTTATTTTAATTCAATTTAACTTAAATACAAATCCTTTTTAAAACACTAAAATCGTTTATTTTTTGCAAAAGTATAGGACACATACATAGATTTCATTACTTCTCATAATTTTTACAAATTTTCGATCTACATATATATTTATTTAAAACCTTCTCTCACTTCTAATTACATTTTTTTCTAATTACTCATTCTTTTCTCTACATTAGGACCGGTTTTATTCCCACCATCGCCACCAAATCCATTAGATGAGAGCAGCGGTGTGATTGTTGGCGCATCCGGATATGGTTTTGTGCCACCACAACAACAAAGTAAACTTTAATAAGAAACTAAGCACCAAAAATACATAAATATTTAGTTAGACACCTAAAAAAAAATAATTAAATAACTAATTAGCTATATATATTATATACACACTCCAAATAATCACCTCACATCCTCCTAGCAACCACTTGAACCGAAGCATTTTCCGCCTCCCGAACAAAACCGAAAAAATACAAAAATTAAAAATTACTTGGTGTTTTTGCAAATTCTTGATAAATAATTAAAATAGTAAAAGTATTGCAGAAACAAAAAAAAAAAACAGAAAAAAAAGAAAACGAAGGACAAAGGAAACAAGCGCTTTATTAGATTAAAAACTATCCAAACATAGATGAATTAATGAGTATTTAATACTGCTTTTATTTTGTTCTATTTTCTAGCAAATCAATTTTTATTATTTTCGTATTTGTAATAGAAAGCAATTCGTATAATTCTTAAATCACTTAAACATACCTACACATTTGATTATATACATATATATATATATATATATAAACAAATATATAATATAATAATTAATGAACACAATTTATAGCCAATTTAGTTAAGCAATATTACAAACTCATTATTGTTGTTGTTATTTTCTAACAGGATTCGTACGCGGTTAAGCACCTTATAACACACACATAGTCACATGTTAACGAGCCGTAAAAGCCATCGCCAAAGTATAAAACAAAACAGTCAGTCAATCAACAGCGCTAATGCCTCATATGCCAGCTGAAACATACAAACACACGCACACACACACACACACACACACACACACACACACACACATTTATAATTATACATTTATTTTATTAGTCATATGCAAGCCGTCAAAAAATTAATTAAACGCCATAATATAGTTGATTCACACATACATATGTATGTACGCATAGCTCACTTATACATATATGCACTGAAATGTACTGTAATGGTATGTATGTATTTCACAATTGCTTTGCTTCGTATTATTTTTTATCGCTAATTAAGTTAAAATATATTAATAATGCACTGATTAATCGCCATAATAATATTAGCACATAACTGCAAGCATACTATAATAATAGTAATAATAATAATAACAACAGCAAAAACATACGCCATGGCGACATGCATAATATATAGAACGAGAGCAACAGTAGCAACAAGCTGGCGTAGAATGTCAACAACAATTTTTAGCGCTAAAAAGAAAAAGTAAAAATAAACAACATTCACCGTTAATGGAGCAATAAATAATAGTAAAATTACATACACACACACGCACAGCTGTTAATATAAATAATAAGCAAAACTAGAAAATTGTCACATTGCAAACGGAAGCGGAAATCCATTCATATTTTTCTTTTAAAAATCATGCACACTTACATACATACATAAACAAATAAAATTTCACAAAGTCACTTAATAAATAATGTACGCACAAACAGGCACACAATTATTACAATTTTAGTCATTTGAATTTTTAATTTTTTTATTTCGTTTATTTCGTTTATTCTCTTATTTTTAATATTACAAAAAATATTCAAACTTTTTTTTTATTGTTTATTAATATAATTATTCAAAATTGTTATGCAAAAAATTAAATTGAAAATAAAGAAAAATACGCTTTAAGTTATTTGAAAAAACAAAATCGAATTTTACTGATTTTTGGAGACAATGACAAACATACATATATTTTATTATTTTTTCTGCTAGTTTTAAGCGCACTTTTTAGTTTTACTGCTTATTTATTATGGTTAATGAAAATTTGTGTTATTTTTGTAATTCAAAATATGTATAATTTTTAATTTTATTTTTCAAACTTATGTAAAACTTTTAATTTCATAAAAATGTGTAAAATTTTAATTTCTTCTTTTTTATTATCTTTGCTACTTACAAAAATTCAACTTTTATTAATTACTTATTTTTAATAGCAAACAGTTAAGTATTTTAGTTATTTTCATTTGCTTCTTAAAATAATTTAAAATATTTTATTCATATTTTTTAAAGTATTTTTATTAATAAAATTTTTAACGACTTATTTTTCGTATATTTTTTGTTTATAAATTACAAAAATTTTTATTTAATTAAATAAAATTAAGTCAGCTGCGTTATTTTGTCCATTCCAAAAGTTTCTACTTTATTTAAATTTTGTGAAATATTTTACAATATTAAAACCTTTTTTATTTTATTTTTTAATTTTATTTTATTGTCTTTTTCATTTTTTTATTACACATAATATTTTATTATTATTAATTATTAAAAGAGTTTAAGAAATTGATTCTTTGTTCTATTGGTATTTTGTTTTTTATATTGGATTATATTTATATTTTTATTTTTTTTTAAATAAATTTTATTTTATTTAATTTTAATTGCTTTAATTTTTACTTGTTATATTTCTAATTTTTATATTTTTGTTTTTTATTTTTTTATTTTTTATATTTTTATAATTCCGTATTTTTAATTTTTTTTTTGAAATTTATTTTCTTATATAAATAATTTAGATTTTAATTTTACCTTTATTTTTTTAAATTTATTTTTTTTAGTTATACGTGTGCCTTAATTTTTATTTATTTCCAAACCAATTTAATGAGTTTTAACATCGCTGTTATTATCAACTTTATTTTTTATCTATTTTTAGTACTTTTTAAAATTATACTAATTTCTAAAAATTTTATTTAAAATTTTTACTAATTTTTTTAATTTTTTAATGTATTTTTTAGCAAAATTTCTTGAAATTTTTACCAATAAAAATTTATAATTCAATAAAACCTCTGTGAATTTATTTATATTTCTTATTTTATTAATTTTTTGTTTCACTTCTACTGCAATAATTGAAACACGACACCGATACTTCTATATACATAATACTTATGTACCCGTATGGTTTGTACATTTATTCAAACAATTGCACTGCTTAACGATGGCATTGTATAGCAATTAACAGCAAACTGCTTTACATACTGTTAAGATTGGTAACATAAATGTACACGTAAATGTAAATGTAAATGTAAATACACTGAAGGTATGGTATGGATTACTCGGTGCTGTATCAATAGTTTAAATACAAAAAAAAAAAAAAAAAAAAAAAACTATTTAAACAGTTTTTGGTAGCTCAACACTTGATTTAAGTGAAATGCAGGTAAATGGAAAATGTAAACTTTGTAGTTAAAACTCACACCCAACCTAAAATTATTCTCTTATATCTAGTTAATAAGATTAATGTTATTTTACCGAGAAAATTTAGCCAAATTTAGACATTATTTGGAAATTAATTAGTCAGAGAGTATTATTCAAAACTTTTGAACCGAAATATTTTGAGGATGTTCATACTGAAATACAAAATATATTTCCGGAAAATAGCTAAAAATTCTAAAAACGATTTTTAGTAATTTGAAAGCCAGATATAGATGATTATGGCTTATGAATTATGATTTTCTATACAAAAATGTTTCAAATATTGCAAATACTGCATTCAGTGTTCTATGGGACGGATTGTGATTTAATATACGAAAGTCCAACGAGTAATTAATATAGTGAATAACTGTACTAACGACAAAAGAGCTTAGGAGCAGTGTTTCTGTGAACTTTCAAACTTCGCTCAGATTATCGCTCTTTTTTTTTTTTGTTATGCTTATATGTTGTCTCTGATAGTGAGCAATACTAAGAGCCCACAGCAATTAAAATAAAATCACAGATGGTAGAGAGCTGCCGCAACTCCAATAGCCAAGCGAATTCTTTTTCAACCTAGCATGGTCTGGGAGATATACAGCATACCCAGTAGCATACCAGGTAACATGATGGCGGCTGAGCTTACCAAGAACAGCTCTTCAGTTCCTTTTTCGATATCATGGAAAAAGTCAGGCATGCCGCTCTTCACTTGTAAGCCTGCTAAGGGGAGTTTTTCATCATAAATCGCGGGATCAAGATAGAATAGTCTCAATAATTGTAATGTAACTACAATAATGTGGCCAAGTTGGTACTAGAAATGATTGGGGTACCTTATCTTGCTGAAAAGAAAGGATTTGTCATAGAGAGACTGGACGCATCATAAAATGACTTTTGCTGGAGTTATAGAGAGTAGGAAGATCTTTGATACCTTAATACACTTCCTTTGCGTATGGTTCGCACTTTGGAGGATTTGGAGATTGAAGTTTTTAAGGGCGACAACATTTGGGTGCAATGTTACATAGATTGCTTAGTTGGGTTCATCAATAGTATCACAATGACCCTGATTAGTGAGCTAAGTATGCTCAGGCTTTTTAAGCCTAACCTAACCTAATACGTCTTCTCGAAGATAAACTCTCGACTAAATGCAAAACTGATGGAGTCTGGTCACCCAGCCACAGTGACGTCCCAGGCAATTGCATGACAGACGAACTAGCGAAAAATCCTTCCATACACAATAAAACGTGTATACGATGCAGGCTTATCTTTGTCCACGGGAAAGTATTAGCTAAAAAGCAAGAAGCCATTTAGAGTGGCTTGATGAGATCACGTGCAACGAGACCAGGCATCTATGGCCGAAATTGGGCGAGAAAAAGCAAAACATCTTATCCTTCGAGACCGGTTCTACATTAATATGACGAAAGACATAATAACAGGTCACTGTTTAATGAGGCTTCACGGGAAAATAATCGGCTACGACTCTAATGATTTTTATGCTGTAGAGACGAAGCAGAGGAAGAGTCAGAGAACACTACATCTGCGCGACACATGTTCCTCGGGAAACACTTTTTGACTGTCTTGCTAAGTAAGATTCAACAAAAATTGGCAATGTCACTGCTTTTATAAGGCACACGAGATAGTTTCAACATTTGAGTAGGTGAGCGGTTTCCCAATGGGAATATTGGCCTAAGTGCATTGACAACAGACCAACAGCTGCATCAACTCAACTGAGCTTCACTCATGTCCATCTAAATGACATAGTATAGGATTTAGAATTGTTTTTTGCGTACGACTTTTCTACTGTCAAATATTCTATGTCGAAAAATTTACTTACGGCTGGTGTGCTCAGAAAAAGAAATTTCAGAACTTGCAAAAGCTTTCTACAAAACGTCGAAAAAACTGTTAAAGAGAATAATCAAATCACTATCCTGAGTTGCTGAGGAGGTTGAAATTGGTGAATGAAGACAATAATGATACTGATTTGCTTAAAAGGAGTTGTAACCGGTATTCGGGGTGTATGATTATAACATCGAAGGCATAGCTTAAGCGGAAGAGATCAGGAGAGCCGAGATCGTCAAAAGCACATCAAGTGCGATCCGTTAAAGTTCTATACATTGTTTTCTTAGAGTATTGTGGTGAAATAAAAACGCCCATCGATCGTGCACATACTCACTCAATGTTTTGATTAAAAACAACAAGGTAATTGTGTTCCAGTCACCGTCACTGTCACCCAATTTGGCAAGCCTCCTTTCATTTCCTGTTGCCAAGCTTAAAGAGACCAGTGAAATGACGGTATTTTGTGACAATGCAGTAAATTAAAATGGAAAGCATGAAAGGTCATATGGAAAAGTTATTATGACAACTCCTTCCAGTACAAAAAAAAAATGATAAATAAATATTTTTTTTTTTCGGAAAATTAAAACTTATTTATTGAACATACATACATACTTGAAGGAAATATTTACATATAGTCCAAAGTGTATTACCAATAGATTCAGTTATTATTGAATCTGCTTAAGTCAGCTGAAGTGAACTTAACCTGACAGCAAACGTACAAATTTTAAAACTAAATTAAAAACATCTTGAGTTTACTCAAAGCCCTTTTCGAACTGTATCACTCTCCCCAACAGGCGGGAACATTTCTTCGCT